GTTAAGTGCCTTAAAAAATATATGTAAGATATATATGTAAGAGACTATATCATGAAGTTTATTGAAAAATAGTGTTAATTGGCTTTTATTAAACATACATTAAAAATATTTACAGTATATGAATAAAATTCGATATATTAATATATAATAATGTTATTAAACACAATTTAAGCACTGATTTTGAAGCTTTAAAAATTTATTTTACTGAATTTAGAGAAAAACCTTCTCAATGTTATTTAAATGATAAATAGAAAAATCTAGTTATGATATAGCATTTTGTCATCATTATTGAAATATTACTTTATTCTTAACTCTACATTTTATTCTAGAACTTCAGCTGGATCTTTTCAGTCTAGATAACAATTGATAATTTTATATAATTATTCTTGTCTATCTGCTACAACACCAAGGTGGAAAGTTAAAAAAAAAAAAAAAAAGATTCATAGGTTTTATTTCTTTAACTTGGAAATTGTACTATCTCCCATACAGTAGAGTATGGAATATATGGAAAATATAATTTCCAAATTCAGAATAGATATACACATGCACAGTTTAAAATAAAAAAAACAGGTATAAAATTGGTACTTCAAGATCAATAAAAATATTTCATGAACAGTTTTGACCAATAAAAATATTTGCTTCAGGAAATTAATGTCTCCTGTTATACTTTATACAAAATTGATTTTATTGTCTTTAGCTTTATATCAAATGATTTGCAACTTACAAAATTAGAGACACAGAAAAAGAGATATAAAAACAAAATTTTTAATACTTAAGTCTTCAGTTCACCATCACCAGGTAAATATTAATAACTGGTTAATAATTACATATTGCTGACCTATAAAGTTGATAATAAGTGCTAAACAAATGTATAAGTAAGCTTGTACTATTCATTAGCAAGACATACACAATGGTCAGAGATTATAACTGAAGAATTTTTGCGTGTTTTTTAACATTGTTGGGTACTTTGGAGATTAAGTACATGAATACTATACAAAAAAAAATAAAGGCATTATTAAAATCTGAAAGAATAGTTGTTTAGAATGAAGACTCATTCTAGGCATATTTCAGTTCTGTTTTATCTACTACATTTTTGACACTATAAAAAGGGTAAACTATAAAAGTTAGTTAGGTATTTAAAAGACAAATACAGCGTTCATTAATAAATAATTTAGTAAAGAGATTTAGCAAGTATCTACTAAGTGAGCATTATGTTCCATGCTCTGTATAGATACTAAAGTCCCAGAAAGAGTCTTATTCCAGGATCTCACCAAGCCTACTTTAGAGGAAAAAACAAACAAACAAAAAAAAATCAAGCATCATTCCACAGAACCAGTGTAATTTTAAAGTCATACGCAAATTTTCTATGTTCCTGTATGCTATTAATTTCTTGGGTAATTTGGAGTACAGAGCTTCTTTTTTATATTAGGGTTTATTAATATAGTGATAAAGTATAAGTGTGGTGTTCCAACTTGTTACTTTTGTTTCTTCCTTTCTTCCTTTCACACATTTGGCCAGTAAGACCCTCTGACGTATCCGCTATCACTACACAGATGAGTTAAATGGCTTTATTTAAGTTCATACACCAATTTCAGTTTTCTAGTTGTAGATTTCTTCATAAAAAGCGGAATGCAGAACAAGAATGAAGTGTATTCCTCTGAACAGGAGGCTAAGAAAACAATCTGTATCTCATTCAGTGCATTAGAGACCAGATTCTTTGAAATAAGGACTTACTTGTAGACTTACTGAATTAGTATCTTTGTGGAGTATCGCTGGCTATCAGGGTTTGCTAGCAAATGGTATCAAGTGATGTTAAAAAAAATTAGTTTTTTGAAACAAGCTGTAACAAGCTATAACTACAGTATTAATAAATCTTTGTAAGATGACCAATTTTTTTTTTATAGTTGGTTCCATTTCACATATTACTTGTAAGTCTTTGTCAATGTTGCAAGATTTTATTCTTGGAATTAAAGAGTTTTGTTTTTTTTCAAAATTATTACAGCCCTTCATAATTATCACTTTAATGGATGCATATTTTAAATACTATAAGTGTACAATTATTAGTATCATTTTTTAAAGTAAGAACTTATATTGCTCTGTTCTACACTTGATCTAAGTTAAAAGGCCAAGAAGTAATATCATGCTCTATTCTCAATAAAATCAGGAGAATTAGTAATGTATGTGAATTCTAAGAACACGAATGTGATTATTAATAATAATAGTCAAGTCAATATTTTAAATAATAATATTGTACAATAATGGTTTTAAATAATAGTTTCCTCAATACTTTAAGGATTATTTGAGTCTAAAATAATAAAAAATAAATAAGTATGAAGAATGTCTTGAGTTTAGAAAGTTAAACAACAATTCCTTTTAATAGTTAACTTAGATTTATACAAAAATTTGGAAAAGAATATGATATAAACCTCTCAACCAGCACTCTCTTAAGCACCGGAAAAATCATTATCTTTCCCAGTTCTTTCAATTTCTGTCAGAAGAAGCATAGAGAGAACTATATATTTTGGTAATTAATTTCCTTAAGATAATGTTAGAAACATCAAGTTCTTTAAAATATAAATGAATTTCAAGGTGAGCACGCTAGAGGATAATATTAATGGCATATGATTGATTGTGACAAGAGATCTGATCTGAAACACCATTATTATGAGTATTTAAAAAAATCCATTTGCAAATTCCTGAAAATACCAAAGAGTGCTATGGCTGAATGTGTCTCAAAGTTGAAATCTGAAAATCTGTCCTTATAAGTATGAAATTGTTTATGCACAATATGTGGCATGTCTTCCTCATAAAAATTTATTAGAAAATTTTCATATTCTGAATAAGTTAAATTATAGTTTAGCAAATTATCTAAAAGCTTGTAATTCTGAGTGAAGACAGTCTGTAAAAAATATAGATTGAAATGTATGTGCCTGACTTAGTAACATATGCAATGTTAGAGGTCTTAACTTAAAAAAAAAAATAGTAGGTAATTATACACTGAGTATCTACTATATACCAGACATTCTTTGAACTCACAGTAGAAACATGTGACCTGTGTCAATCTAGAAGGTGTTTTCTTTGTTATTAGCCTTCCAAATGTATTTTTACACTTTACAAATACATTGGGCTATACAAACGCATTGCTGTAAATAGTATCTAACCACATATTGGGCAGTGAGGAATGTCATAAATTAACACTGCAATTGATGATAAAAAATTAAGTAGATATATGTGAATAATAGAAGTCTTATTAAGAAGAATTAAAATTATTCCGGAGAACAGAATTCATTAACCTCTGGCACTTGAGAGAGGATCACATATTTGGCATTCTTATATGTAGTATGTCAATTTGAGTATTACATAAATATATTGATACACTTTCTCTATACTTTTAATTCTCCTTTCTTCCCCCTCTCCCCTATCATTCTCTTTCTCTCTGCTGAATAACTTCGGGACAAAAATGCCTTAAACATCATCAAACTTTTTTTTTCCATGGATTTCTTACAGTCTTTACTGGGTTTTTAAATTGTGAAACTCCTGAATGGGGTCACTGCATGCCTCATTCTCAAATAGCATTTATTTTTTTGCTTGAAATCTATTTCAATATATGAATATCAACACATGACTGCTACACAGAATGGTATTTGAGTAAGCACAAGCTAGATTTTATAATATGGTTTTATGTACATTAACAAGTATATTCATGTCCAGGACATTCAAGGTAAATTACCATGTGTTAAAAGTTGCTATAAAATGAATATAATTTCATTGTTACATCAATTTATTTGCATATATTTTCTAAAATAAAATTAAATTTTATAAAATGAAAATGGCTATTCTACATACAAAGAAAATTTATAGGTGCAACATTTAATTAGATTTCTACTAAATTTTATAATATACATGTCACAAGATTCACACAAAAAAGTATATAATAAAAATTTAGTTTTCATCCCAACCGTTTAGTTCCCTTTTCCAGAAAGAACCAGAATTAAGAGATTTTTGTGAATCCCTCCAAAGACACTATGGGCACATGTACATATTCATACATACATTTCTTCCACTTTCCTTAAACAAAAATTGTACCTAGCTGAATTATAAGAGAAAAGGCAAACCATAATATCATGATTTTATGATTTCCAGGGTTGTTAACTATCCAAATATGGAGACCACAGATCCTTGGGCTTTGAATATTAATATTAATATTGAATATATACTTAAATATATGCACAGAAATGCTGGTTATGATTTTGTAACTTTGTGAAATGATCAAAGTAGAAATGTATGTAATTGAAGCAAAGATGATTCACTTCCGTCCCATTTTTCCTGGGGAAAGGGTTGGAGACAGCCCTATTTCCATCTACAAGTGGGGAAGATACAAAACCAAAGCTTTCTCTATTTCCCTGAATATCAGAAAAGGTCAATATCTACATTTGAAAAAGAAATATGTATAACTATATTAGCAAAATAAATTCTCATTGTCAAGGATCTTCTCCTTGAAGAATGTATCTTTTAAAGTAGTTTATGTTAGCATTGATTATTTCTCTGGTTTATTTTCCATTTACTTGAGGCCAATACTGGATGAACAGTAGAAAGATGAGAGGCCTTCCGTGATACCTTTGTAATACAGAGTTACTCAGCATTATCAAATCACAGTCCAATATTTTCTCTTTGGGACTTGGTGTAATCACCCTCATATCTTTAGCCATATAAAGACTTCCAGTATATCTTAATAAAATATTAGTTTTACCTTATACTTGAAATTCTTTTTAACACATGAGAATGGACTACAGATGACCACTGCATTCCTCATTATAGTCTCATTAAAACCAAAGAAGAAAAATTAAATTCATTTACACTTGTGTCTCAATACTCACACATACATACCCAATCTTATTCAGCGATTATACGTAAAATGTTTTAGAGCACAGACTGATCCTTTTCATGACATAATTCATCAACAGTAACCGTAATTATAATTTTATCATATGTTATCTTACCTACTGTTGAATTTTTCTGGGTGTTTTTCTCTCATGATGTGGAATCTGTGTGCAATGGAAGCATCCTAGGTAGAGAAACAGAAAAGAAAAATGAGACAGTTTATGATCCTACTATTTTGTGCAAAGATCAAAAGAGAAAAGTTAATGAGTAATATTTTTAAATTACTCTTTCTTAACAATATTGCCAAGAAGACACTCTGAAATTAGGCAAAAATGAGTAACCTACAAAAATTCAGTACAAGTGTGATTTATGCCATCATTTCACCGTCGGTTACTTGTTATATTGACTTCTGGAAACTGATTTCTATTTAATTTATGTATCTCCTTTAATAACTGGTTTTGGCCTCATGATCGAAGTATGTTTAAAATAGTGTAAATGAACATAAATGTTAAAAAGTAGTTGAAAATATTGTAATGCATAGCTGGAAGGATGGCCTAAGTGGAGCGATAGTAATTTCTAGTCCTTTGAGATTAATTATGAGTAAAAAGATAGTGTGAAAGTGCATATTTAATAAAGGTAAATGAGTATAATACATGACTTCAAAGTTTGCTAAGAGTGTCTTGCATGTGTAACTATTAACTGTTCAGTCACAAGCAACCTTCTCACTTATCTTGCTTAATGGAGAAAAGAAAGCACCGAAGAGAGAAAATTATTTTTGGAGAATTGGTGTAATTATAACTAAGCTCTGAGACCCCAAACATATCAGTTCTGAACCCTAATGGATGTTTCTTTCTTTTAGGAAATCCATTCAGAGTTTCTATGAGACAGAATCACACTGAGCATGTGAGAATGGTAGAATATTGTGATTCAAGCTTTTCAAACAGACTGTTCTTGCTGACTTTAAACAGTTGCCCCTGTTATTCCAAGCAAGAAGATATTTCCCCATTCTTCATCTACACATGATTAATCACTCCAATGAGAAACTAATATATTTACCAGTCATCTCAAAAGAAATGGGTCTACTGTTGTGATTAACTTAATTTTGTTTCATAGTGCAGATAAAAAAAAAAGCATACACAAAGGAAATAAAGAAGTTGTGTATTTGAGAGAATCTTGAAAACACTAATCAAGGATTAAAAGTCTAATGAATGAAATGAAAAGGCTAATGTGCTTACTCATGCATAACAAAGCATGAGGCACAACAAGAGAGGGACCAAAGCCCGCTGCAGATGGCAGGCCCAGTAACTTTTCCCTACAAGATAAAGCTGTAATAGCACTGTTAGTTTTTCTGTACATTTTATCCTCTAAAAATCATTAACTGATTAAATTAATCTGCAAGAGAAAAGGAAACAAAGATATATAGAAACACTTATTAAAAAGTTACCCCAAAACCCTCCGTGGTTTGGTATTCTAGGATGTCTTTGTTATACATACATGGTCAACTTCCTGGTTTGCTAAGAAGTAGTAATGTCAAGATGGTTCACTTTTATTGGTTTAATAGCTCTCAAATACAGTCAGAGAGTTTCTTCTTTTTTTTTAAATTCTTACTAATAAGTCATAAATACATCTTAGAATGTTGTGTTACGTGGTATGAAATTACAGATAAAAATGTAGCTAGGCTATTAAGGGTATATTATATGACATGATCATTAATTTTTTTAAATCATTTATTTTGACTTTATCCCTAATCTGGTTCAAAATCAATTTGTAATACTTTATAATTAAATGCATACATCCAGCAGACCAGCTGAACAAAAAGAAAAGAAATATGATTCAAGTACTAAGAATGGATGATCAATATTGGTTATCCATAGGGAGACTATCATTGAATTTGCTTCTGCGTGAATTATTTGTTCCTGCTAACGTAGAGAACTGAGACTTTTAAAAATAGATTGTGTAGTATAATTTGCTTTACAAGCATATTATTTTTGCAATAACAAATCTCTTCCTTTCCAAAGCAACATAAACAGGTCAGAGAGAGGGCAAGAGGAAAGTAGAGAAAAGGGGAAAGGAGAAGAAAGGAGAAAGAGTATCAAAAGAAGACCATTTAATTAGACTGGACTATAACTGGGTAAACTCCTAGGCATATAGATCACCAAATAGCCAAGGACAAACTTAATGTTAGCTCTATCTCCAAGATACTGGGGCAATGGATCATGTAGTAAAAGCAGGGATAAATTAAAACTAGTGAGGAACACTGGGATGCCTTTTCCATGTGTTGAATGGCTTTCATGGGAGTTGGCATTTGCTAACTACAGGACTGATAAGAAACAATGACGGCAGGTGTTCATTTGGATGAGAATTCAGACTGAATTCCCATGGGACACTCTCCCTTTGGCGTAACCCCAAGAGACTTAAAAGAGAACTGCCAAACACTGTAAACTTATCCAGCAGCCATATTTCAGAGACACCGAAGACTCTGTAAAAGGAGACCAAATAAGAAAAAGCTATAACAGTGTCGTTTTTTTTTTATATAAATTGTGCTGTTTCTGTCTCTATGTACTCTACTCTTGAGAAACATAAATTAATCAACATTACTCCCACATTCTAGAATGAACAAACTGTAAATTCAGACAGACTTTTACTTCCAAGACTTGTAACTTTGAGCAAATGACTTATTTATTGTTAAGTCACAGCTTTCTTATCTTTAAAAGAGGATACTCATACTCCATTATAATATTTTGGTGAAGATTTTTTAGATTATTTTGTATAGCTGGGATGTTCATATATTTTATATCCACATCAGAATTACACTAAAAGTAAAAGGGGATGCTAAACCATAGTTAAACTATATAATTTTGGAACATGTGTTTACTGACTCTGAAATTGGTGTTATTTCCTGAAATTATAAAATACTTTAAATTAATTAAAACTTAAAGTTAGATCTAAGAAGTAAAAATAAAATATACCCATCCTTATTAAGGCAAGACAAATTTAAATATGTAAATTTTATAAGCAGCAGAAAGTAGTAATACACACACACAGTACATAGAAATATTCATATATCAGAGAATCAGCTTCTTAGTCATAGCTGTCTTTAATACTCTGTCATTGATATTTTTCTGAGAAGTGATTTCTCTTTTCCTGTAAGGGGTTATTACATTTTTATTTTTAAAAATACAGTTAACATAAATCTCCAAAGTTGCATTTTAAGTTATTAATTCAAAATTCATCAATTTTAAGTGTACCATTCAAAGAGTTTTGACAAAGGTATATAATAACTACTTTCACAAACATGATAGAGAAATTTTCCATTACCCCAAAAAAGTTCCCTTTTGCATTTATATACTTTTACACTGGCATATATCCCCACTACCCCCCTTAAAAGACATTGGTCTGCTTTCTGTCACTGTAATTGCATTTTCTAAAATTTCCTATAAATGGAATTTAAAAGTACTCTTTTACATCAGGCTTCCTTCACTTATTGTAATACTTAACGAGATTCTACCATTTGTTCCCATATCAGTGGTTTGTCACCTTTTATTACTAAATAGTATCCAAATGAAAAGATAGACCACAGTTCATTTACTCACTGATTGCTGGCATTTGACTTTTTATGAATAAAGCTGCTATGAACTTTTGAGCACAACTCTTTTCATAGACATATGTGATTGTCTCTTTTGAATAAATACCTAGGATTGAGACTGCCCAACTGTATTGATTAAGATTGTATCATTGTACCATTTTGCACTTCTACCAGTAACATTTGAGAGTTCCAGTTACTCCCCATCTTTACTAACATGCCACAGCAACACCAACCCTTGGCAGTCTTGAATTTCACCATTCTAATAAATTTGCAATGGTGTTGTTGCTTGGAACCTTAACCATGTGAGCCAACACCAGCTGCTTCACTAGAGGGGTCGGTCAATTCTGACGAAAATAGAAGATTTGAATGTTCTGGGGCAGACTTACTAGATGCTTCCAGCTCTACCACAATGCATTCATTCTGGCAGTTCTTGTACTATCTCAGCAAAGAGCACTCCACAATTCCACTTGTGGTTTCTGCCTCAAAATCACCCCACAAAGAGCCTCACGTGTTTTAAAGGATTCGTCCTTTTTTATTAAATTTCTCCAAAAGATATTTCAGAGGATATATGGTTAAAGTCTCCTTTGAAGAACTTTAAGCTCTCAAACTGATTACGATCTTTTTCTTTGGTTGAACTATACTTAAAATAAAAGCAGTAAGTTGAAAAATGCAATGTATCACAATTGTTAAAATAAATTTTCCTTATTGTTGATTGAAGTTGATTATCTTTTCATATGCTTTTGCCTCAACTTTTTCTTGTGTGGAGTACCTAGTCAAGTCCTTTATCCATTCTATGCACATTAAAAATATTTACATTAATAACCATAATGATGATAATTAGCAGTAATTAAATATTCACTACTCTTTCTTAAAGCACTACTTTAAGAGCTTTGCATGTAATATTTCATTTAATCTTCATAAACATTTTATGAGCTAGCTACTGCTACCTACATGTTATGATTGAGGAAACTGAGGACTATGTAGTTTAGAATTGTTCCAGACCATACAGGAAGAAGCTGTGAAATTAACAGCTAAATACAGGTAACTGCCTTCAAGCCTTTTATGTTTTTTGCTAGTAATGAGAAAGTCATGCATTGCAAATATTTTCCAAATTTCTTTTTTTCCCACTTTTCTTTTTTACCTTGTAGGGTTAAATTTTTATGTTTCAGATATATTAACCTTTTCTTTCAGTCTTTTGAGTCATGCTTAGAAAGATCCTTCCTTTCTCCATAATTCAGCAGAATACTTTTTGTTTTTTCCCTGATGACTTCATATTTTACACTGTAGTGTTTCAATCATTTCAGATTTATACATATTAACATATATATTAATAGAATGTGCTTAATAATCTAATTTTTCTTCCTTGTTTGAAAGACACAGGTAATTCTATAATAAATTTCCACCTCTATATCTCTATGTTACCTCTGAACTGCACCCAACTATTTTAATTATTCTAGTTCTGTACTAAATGTTCATATTTGGTTGGGCTAGAATCAATTCTCCTCTTACTCTTTTTTAAAAAATTTGTTGTTTACCTACAAGATTCATATTTTTGGATACAATTTGAAATAATTTTCGAGTTACCTTTGCTTTTAAGA